ATGGTTTCCTGGCTGGAGCTGATCATGTTTTCCATGGCCTGGAGCTGCGCTTTAACATCCCCATCCTGATTGACAGGCACTATCTGCTTGCACGCCTCATTATCCGTCTGTAGAGTTCCTGATCCCGTGCTGCCCCTGCATGGAGGCGCGGGCATGGGAACGGCTGTCGAGGAGACCGGAGTCACCGGCGCCGCTGCCTCCATAGCCCGCAGCGGTCGAGCAGACAGCGTGCCCGTGTGGCACTGGACTTGCGTCGTGCAACTGGTTCGCGGCAGCGTCTGCGACTGCAGGCCATTGAGCTGAAGCGCATTCTTGCGTTTGCTCCGCTCGGACGGACTCTCCAGGCACTCCACCTGCGTGAGAGAGTTCCACGCGATAGGTCCCATCACTTTGGAGGAGGAATCCTCTAGAATATTCCCACTGCTCTCCCCAGAGTTCAGCAACTGCAGCTTGCCTGAGCGATCAAGAGTTCCAGAGTCTCTCTGGAAGCCCTTACTGTGTTTACTTCTGACGCTACAGATCTGATAGTCCGAGTTGTCCATTCCCACTGCGGACCCATCTGTCGGACAAGGAAGAACCAAAGCGTCCGAACATGGTCCGTCTGTTCTCTCCAGACAGTCCCTGGCTTGTGGATGTTGCTCTATAGTTGCGACACACTTGCTGGTGTGCATTAATGCTCTTGTTTTCCTCACATTTTGAGAGGGTACGCACTCCCTACCTGCCTCGGTAGCTTTCGCCCTCTTTACATCAATAACAAACCCATCGTCCTGATCCTTACAGCTCTCCACAACAGCAGCATGCTTGACCGTATGTCCTTTCTTCCGCTCAAATGGAAAAGTCTGGTAACGCTTCCTAAGATCCGGTGATGTTTGCACTCCGGTGCTTTTGGTGACATTGGGGATTGATCTGCGAGCTGGGACGGTCATGTACTTGCGGTACGCCACCTTGTAGACCGGCTTCCCCCCTCGGGCCGCAGCAGCCTGTTCATTCTGTGCCTCGCAGATGTCCTTGAAGCGCACCTGAAGGGCTTTGTTGCGCTTGCGCACCTGCCGGCTTTCGTCCGACGATCCTTTGACCTCCAGGGCCATGGAGGCCGCTGTTGCCTCTGAGTCCGACTCAGAGTTGGTGAGCATGCATTTACCAGCGTCCTTGCTCACCATGGTTCCTGCAAACACAATATTATTAGTTGAAAAAATGGTGCACTTGCCTTTAGCAACTGTATCTTGCATGTAATTGTGTTAGTAGATTAGATT